TTTGGCTCATATGCTTATCATTGGAAGTGTTGATATAGCTAATATGCATATCTGTTGAAATGTGGATACAGCTTGTATGCGTATCTGTTGAGATGTTGATACAACTAGTATGTTTATCTATTGTAAAAATGGGAAATGTTTAATATGAGTTTTTGTCTCATATAAGTGGTTGGCCAGGTTTTGAGCCGTTGATGTAAATTGTGAAATTGATAAGAAATGGAAATTGAAATGAAACATGAACATGGTGGTCATGAAAATGGAAATGGGTTATGAATTGGTTTATGGAAATTGAACATTTATCAATTGCTATTGTCTTAGTTATTGCTCATACTGTGTTTAGCATATCTCTATTGGGCGTTGGCTCACCCTTTATGGGACATTATTTTCAGGTACAGGTAGTATGCCACCTCCAAGGACATACCTTGGATGATGATGAGAGTTGAAGACTCCTTTTGTTTATTTTGTTTGTATTACATGTATATCAAGCCAAGGGCTTATTTTGTGTAGAGTCAGTACTCTTCTTTTGTGTAACCAAGTGTTGACTTGGAAAGCTGTAAGCCCATAGGGCATTTGCTTTTGTTGTTAACATGTAATACAGTGTAAGAATTATTATGATGAATAGAAATGGTTGGTTTCCTTTATATCAATGCATGTCTAAAGTGTTGGGTTTTATGTTTTTTTTTTTAGGGCGTTACACTTTTACTTGATTTCCATAGTTCAAAGACCAACTTCCTCATGTCAATTGGAATAAATTACAACCTATTTTCTGTTATTTTAATTGAATTTATTGTTATTCATTCCATTCTAAGGATTTCAGTATAGTTTGCAATAATTGAAGTTCAAAATAATTAGTGTTACCACTATAATTTCTACTACTACAATGTTCACCAAATGCTTGATAAATTGTTTCTCTATTTGATGTGTTTGATGTGTTTATTAATTCACAGGGAATGGAAGGTGAGGGGGAGATTAATCAAATGATCAAACTTTTGGTTGAGGAAAAAGTTCTCCTTTGCTAAACTTTTGACTGGGGTGAGGAAAAAGTTTCCCTTTGCTTGACTGGGTTAAGTTTATCAATTTATCTATTTTTTGGATAATGTTCTCTTTGCTAATTATTTTTATTATTATTTATTGTTTTTGGGAAAAACCAACAAAATTAGCAGTTTTTTTTATTTTTTGTTTGCATTATTTCTAAATAGGTTGAATGCTCTCAATTGGATCTCAGTTGTGAGTTTATGAAATCTTTCTTTTGAGATTGTGGTTTGAAGATTTTTGAAACGGATACTCCTTGCATTGTGGTGCCAAAGATATCTATGAAGGTTATCAAAGAAAAAGCAGGTGCATAAAATATTTGCTACATAGATTAAAAAATAGAGAGGGTGTGTGGGTGTGGGATGAGGGAGAGTGGAGATAGAGGGAGGCAAAAAGTGAAGATAAATGAATAAAATGGTGTGAGACAAATTGCATCTTGAAAAGTTATCTACCTATGTGCTGAATTACATGTCTCTAAAAGATAGACATTCTCAATTTTAGGAATTAAATATATTTGCTGAATCATTAGTGCTTGATGATGAAAGGAGGCATTTATAAACATTAGTGCTTGATAATGTGTTTAAGAGCTAAAATCTAATAATGTGTTTAGAACTTTCAATTAGTGCTTGATGTTTTCAAATTTGTGTAATCCATAGACATATATGCTTGATTGGAGGGTTAGCTGATTACTCAAAGAGAGGTGGTTTTGTTGATTAAGGTTTAGTTTCTTCTAATTTTTTTTTTTTGTTTGTTGATATTTACTTTCTATTTTTCTCTTTCTTTGTAATTAGCAAGAGAGAAATATAATATGAAGAGTCTGAGACTTAAGCTTAAGAAAGTGAAATGAGTGTTGTAACTAACTAATACTACTGAGACTTAAGTGTAATAGGTTAATGACTTTGCTAATCATACATTTTATTTAACTAATTGATACATTTTTCTTGCTACATTTTGGGTTTTGATACACTTTAATTTGCACAATGGGGGTGAGTAGCAATGCACGATTTTTCTTTCCATGCCTTTTCTTTTTAGACATTACCTATCAATAATTGACATGAGAGATGGTTTGTTAATATTGCAATCACTAAGATTATATTCTTTTTAAATGTTAGCCGAAATTCAAATGTGACAAACCTCTTCAATTAGAACAAGAAAGATTGATAGCTTGGGTAAGTATAACAGTGATGGTATTAGAAATGAATAATTTTTCTCTGAAATTATTTTATGAATAAATTTTTCATGTACTACATAAAAATTGGACAAGAAAAGATTAATCTCAACATTATTTTCACTGTGTCTATAAGCACAAGCATATACACTAGTAATATAATAAAATAAAATAAAATTGCACTACACACATGAGAATCTTTTTGGGGCAACCCCAACACCAAGAGACGCTTGCACCTCGTGAAAATGAATTTTGTTTCCCATTGTGCCACTGGTTTGAGATTTGCCTCAAAGTTTAATCAGTTGCAAATTGCAATGTTATGACTTATAATGTCAAGAGAGACAGAGAGACGGAGAGAGAACATAAACACTGCGAATTGATGCTGCTCAATTTTGAAGTGACTATTCTTACTCTTACTCTTATTTATTCTCTCACTGGTTATAGGATTGAAGTTGTTGCTAACCGATTCTGTGGGCTTTTGGACAGATGGTGATTGTGGACTTCTGTCACAATGGGGACTGTGATTAGTAAAACTGCAAATGGCATTGGAACTCTTTTAGGAAATGCCTTTGTAGCTCCATTAAAAGCTGTTTTTGGAGGATCTTGCGAGTAAGGATGTTTTTTTGTCCCTTAAGTTTTACTTCTATTGCTCTCCTTGACTAATGGCAAATATAATTCTCATTAGCATAATTGAGTGGCCAGTTAAAGATGTCAACACAATCACAATTCAAACTCCATTGTGTGTGTATATTAGCTTATTTATTCCATCCATATGTGGTTAAGATGATGCAATTAATCCTGATTATAATGGCAAAACTAATTAACCATAAATCATATTCCCTTTTGTTTGAATACTTATCAACTACAAAATCCAGAAATTTCGGGTTAGTGAGCCGCATCTTATACATGTTTAAATTGTTTTTCGTATGCTTACACTACAATGGCTTTAGATCACCACAAGTGTTGAATATGAAGAAGGTTTTCCCAGATTCTTGTGAGAATTGCATGAGAAATATCCCTACTGTTCACCTTTAATTGATCCCATGTTTGACCATGTTACTTTTTAGTCCAATATTGATCTAATAAATTCATGTACAATCAAGTCATTTCCAGGACTGTCGGGGTTGACATCTACTTTAATTAATCGTGATTTTCTGATGAAACTCATCTGCATCTGAATAAGATCCTAATGTTTTACCTACAAAACCATAATTTCCAAGGTTCATTTGAACATATATGGACCTATTATATTGACTGAAATTCAGAAATTGCTTTGACCAATCAATTCAATTCTGCAGGGGTGTTTGTTCAGGAACATGGGATGTAACTTGTTTTATCGAGCATATGTGCATCTCCCATCTGGTGAAACTGTTATGCTGTGTTTGGTTGGAGAATTTGGGGAGGAATTTGGAAAGGGAAAGGGAAAGGGAAAGGGAGAAGGTATGTGAAACTATGTGAAATTTAGGCATATTTTATTCTCATTTCACCTACCTTTTCCATTTCCCTTTTCAAATCCCTCCTCAAATCCCCCAACCAAACACACCATTAATGGTTTTGGGGCTTTGTTACATAAGTAAGTTTTTCTTTGATCTTCTTCTTCTTCTTCTTTTTTCTTTTCCCTCTGATAGTAATTTAATTGTTGAAATTGTGCTCCAGTCATGATGCTGCTGGTTTAACGTGTGGTTATCTTAAATTTTCTTCTTATCAAAATTTTAATGTAAAAGGGTTTATTTTCAGGGGTGTTTGTTCAGGAACATGGGATGTAACTTGTTTTATCGAGCATATGTGCATCTCCCATCTGGTGAAACTGTTATGCTGTGTTTGGTTGGAGAATTTGGGGAGGAATTTGGAAAGGGAAAGGGAAAGGGAAAGGGAGAAGGTATGTGAAACTATGTGAAATTTAGGCATATTTTATTCTCATTTCACCTACCTTTTCCATTTCCCTTTTCAAATCCCTCCTCAAATCCCCCAACCAAACACACCATTAATGGTTTTGGGGCTTTGTTACATAAGTAAGTTTTTCTTTGATCTTCTTCTTCTTCTTCTTTTTTCTTTTCCCTCTTATAGTAATTTAATTGTTGAAATTGTGCTCCAGTCATGATGCTGCTGGTTTAACGTGTGGTTATCTTAAATTTTCTTCTTATCAAAATTTTAATGTAAAAGGGTTTATTTTTTGTGAGTGCTGACCCAATTTATCTTTGTTCAATGCTTTTCCCCATGTTTCTCTTCCAAAGCCATTACCAATTTGGTTATTTTGGTTTGGCTCATTCAAGAAACTTAGTTGATTTGTGGATCTTTAGGATAAAATATTTCTCCTGCAAGGTTATTGCTACAAGTCTAAATTAGTTTTCTAACTAGTGTATGTTTGTTTGATTGTTAATGATTGATTACTTATTTATTCTTTGTGCCCAGCTTTGATGTTCTTCTATCTAATGTTCGAGCTGGGGATATGCCAATGCATAGGAAGAAGCCTTTGCAAGATGTGTTGGGCTGCATGTGAGACATACTGGTTCGCATTGGAAGATTTCACCTGTTTTCTTTGTCATAAGTTAAAGAATGTCAAGCGGGTAAACCGTCGACGCCAGCGCCAGCGCCGCTTTCGTGATGTTGAGTTAGGGTGCTCTTCCAGTGAAGAGAGTACATCTCTAGATGTTGATCGAAGTGTCATTAGGAGGAGGAAGCTAATTAGGAAGAGAAAGGATAGACCGGAGAGCACTTTCTACCCTTTAAGACAGGGTCTTAAAAATAGATATGGTAGTCACAATCACCACCACCACCACCACCACCATCACTTAAGGTTGAGGACCAGAGAAGTGTCTGTTCATGTTAAGGGCAGGTCTCAAGGAGCAAAGTACTCAAGACAGCTTCAAATGAGGAAGCTGAGTAATATTCGAAGAGAAGCAGTATTGTTCAAGAAGAGAAGGTTCAGGTGATGATCATAATATAGCAGTAGTTACATGGCCTTGTGTGTATGGAGTCTATGGACTGCAGGTATTATTGTCTGATTTGTGAGGAATGGATTGGTAAAAGAGGACATAACATATTTGATTGGACCTCTATTTAGGGTGTATATGAATGTTTCTATTCAAAGCGGAATGCATTTCAGGATTCAATTGTAATAATAGCTTGTAACTAGAAGATTTTTTGATATCATGTATCAATAGATGATGTTTAAACCTTTCCATTTAGTCATTTGCTCAAGTTTGTGTTGGTCAATGTGGTAAAGTTTTTATTGACAATCTTGCCATTTGTTGAAGAGCGGCTCCCAGTGATCTGTGATTTTTTTTTTGTTTTTTCAAAAAAAAAAAAAAAAGAAGTAAAATAATGAAGTAGAAAAAAAAAAGGGAGCCTATTAATGACATAATTATCTGTAGTTTTTGTCATTATCTTTCTCATACCCAAGATCAAATCCAAACCATCCATTCTGCCCTAGCTTCCTCGTCATCATTTCAGAGAACTTGCAAGAGAGTAAGATTCTTTTTTTAAAAAGTAGTCTAATAATGACATAATTATCTGTAGTTTTTGTCCTTTTCTTTCTCATACCCAAGATTAAATCCAAACCGTCCATTCTGCACTAATTCTCTATAAAGAAGCTTGCCCTTGTTCATTTTATAGCACTTACAAGAGAGTGCGAGATTAAAGCCTCTGGGTATAGAGGTCATGTGAGATATTGAGTTTGCACTGGTGTTTGTATTCTGGCTTTATCAAGGTTTGGTTCCTCTTATATGCCATGAAGGCCTTTGGGTAACTACTTTACTTCTTCACAAGATGGTTAGGATGTTTTCTCCCATGTTCTCATTTAGAAAGTTTATTTTTTGTTCTTCCTCTTCTTTATTGCATATGCATTAAATGTCCTGTATTTGAGTTCATGCTACTCTAACTCGATCAAAATACTAAATTTCTTTTCTTATGACAATTTTTAGTTCTTTTTGTCTTGGAGAATAATTTTTTCAAATGTTCACAATAAAATTGCCAATAAATAAAGTGGATAGAAATGTTGGAGTTGTCGTATTTTGGATCATTTATGACCCTTTTGAGGAAAAAAGTGAAGAATAGTATTTAATCATGATGCATCCACAAAGCAATGTGAAAAAAAAAAAAAAAACCAGAGGATTATGGTATTAATCTATAGATAAACGATCGAAAAGGTAATTTGGGTGGTTCCTTTCTGGCTATCTTGTATAGTTGGTTGTTGGGTGGGGTTACTCCCAGCCATGACCTTTTTTTGGATTCTGTAGAGTTAATGCAAGTGTACATGATGAGCTGCTTCCCTTTGATGCTCCTATTGACACTTATTCTTACTTAGCAACAGAGAGAAAAAATTAAAGGGCTTTGAGTGTGTACCTGAGGGATAGAAAGAGTAATTTAAGACTGCCTTAATGGGTTAGGTCTCATTTAAATATAAAATTTGAAATTGACTAGGAGTGGAGAGAGTAGTTATGATGGCTTTAATGAGTTTTAAGTGTCATCAAGTTATGAAGTTTGGAATTTACTGAGAGAGCTTTGCTACAAACACAAAAATGATGCATAGATTGGGTCACATACAAGATACAAAGGGTGGGTCCCACATGTGGGTCCCACACAAGTGAGACCCACCCTTTGTGTCTTTTCTATGACCCATTTTGTGCACCATTTCTGTGCACTTAGTTTTTCTCTTACTAAGATGAATAAGATTTTTCTTTAACGACAGCAAGTGTGGTAGCTCAAGTCCTGTGTAACAGTTTTTGGACGCACAAGTCCCATTTTGGAATACAATTGGCGTTCCTACCCTTTTGATAGGTCACGTCAATTTGCAAGTCGAATGATGATCAGTTAATAAACTCATAAGCAATATGTAACAAAATAAAACCGAATATTGAAATCAAAACATCTCAAAATTGAGAATGTTGGATTTGAAATCTGAAGATCTGGTCTATAGGTAAGAACTGAGAATGTTCTCAATTTTAGAACTGTGAATGATTTCAGTTTATGATTATCAAAACTAAGAAATTTCTCAATTTTTTTAGTATTAACTGAGAATATTATCAGTTTTGAGAAATTTCTCAATTTTTTCATGGTTAAAATCGAGAATATTATCAATCTACTCTTACTCTCTCTCTCGTACCCGCACCTTCTCCTCCTTCCACACTTTCGAGATCTAGAAATCTCTAGATCTCGTTCGAGATAGGCATGACGAGGTCACGACGGTGAGAGGCTGTGATGGCGAAGGTGAGCAGGGGGCGACCGCGACAGCAAAAAGTGATGGGCGATGACATGGTTGGATTGTAGCAGGGGGTGAAGTGCAAGAGGGGCGAGAAGGCAAAAGGGCGACTGAGGGAGGTCGCCGTTGGAGGAAGGAGATCGCTGGTGGGGTTTAGCGCCAAGGTCGCCGGTGGTAGTTTAGTGGTGGTGGGTTAATAAACTCATAAGCAATATGTAACAAAATAAAACCGAATATTGAAATCAAAACATCTCAAAATTGAGAATGTTGGATTTGAAATCTGAAGATCTGGTCTATAGGTAAGAACTGAGAATGTTCTCAATTTTAGAACTGTGAATGATTTCAGTTTATAATTATCAAAACTAAGAAATTTCTCAATTTTTTTAGTATTAACTGAGAATATTATCAGTTTTGAGAAATTTCTCAATTTTTTTAATGGTTAAAATTGAAAATATTATCAATCTACTCTTACTCTTTCTCTCGCACCCGCACCTTCTCCTCCTTCCACACTTTCGAGATCTAGAAATCTCTAGATCTCGTTCGAGATAGGCATGACGAGGTCACACGGTGAGAGGCGGTGATGGCGACGGTGAGCAGGGGCCGACCGCGACAGCAAAAAGTGATGGGCGATGACATGGTTGGATTGTAGCAGGGGGTGAAGTGCAAGAGGGGCGAGAAGGCAGAAGGGCGACTGAGGGAGGTCGCCGTTGGAGGAAGGAGATCGCTGGTGGGGTTTAGCGCCAAGGTCGCCGGTGGTAGTTTAGTGGTGGTGGCTGGAGAGGGCATGAGAGAGAGAGAGAGGAACAAAATGCTTTGTGTTTTTTAATTTGTAAGGGTAAATTGGTCATATAAAATTAACGTAAGACTTATGGGTTTAAAGTTTTGTGAGTAGGACCTAAGCTACCATTAATTGTCAAAACAGGGCTTGACTGTACATTACCCTTGTTTAATTAGGTGGTGGTTAGAATTTACTGAGATGAATAAGATTTTTGTTTAATTAGGTGGTGGTTAGAATTTACTGAGAAAGAGGTATGCCACATAGACACTCTATGTGGAGGATAGTTAAATAAGTATTTGTGTATGACAAATTAAGCCATAAGATTCATGGATTTACTGATTAGGCCCTTTTTTGGCTTCTTTTCTTTAATGAATTATTTGTTCACATGAGAGTGAATTCTATATTTTGCAAACCATTTATCGTTAAAGTTTCCTTATTAGTTATGAACAGATTACAGTTGTTTCCTAAATAGGTTTGTCCTATTGTTACATAATGGTTTGTTTGGAGTAAAGTCTTCCACATGGTTTTCTGGATAAAATACAATTATTATTTATCTGAGCATGTTTGTGGAGGCTTGTGGTGGTTGATAGGTGGATAGCATAGAAGATGTAGTCAGATTTTTCACAAAATAACTTGCTAACTTTGTATTTGTTTGTTGTTTTCTTATTATTTTTCCATATGGGTAGATAGATGAAATGCATGCCAACCAAATTATAATTCCATGACTCATTTGCCAATTTTGATAACAAAACTAAACTCGCAGGTTTTGGTGACTTTGGTGACATAGTTTTCAAGTTTTGTGGTGATCTGTGACCATTACCAACCAACAAAATCTCCCTTTATCAATAAGCTCTTCAACCCACAGGCATTCCTTGCTTGTTGAAATTACAATGACTAGTTACAGTCTTGGTGTACTCCTCTTTCTTGTACTCTTAAGCTTTTCTCTTGAGAGTCAGCAGCTTCATGGGCATTCATTCAAGTTATCATCAGAGGAAACAGGATCTCATCATGTTGGTACGAAGGGAACTAGATGGGCAGTTTTGGTTGCAGGCTCAAATGGTTACGAGAATTATAGGCATCAGGTGACATTTAGCTCCCATTCTTTTATACCGTTTTTAAATTTGTTTGAATGAATTGGTAGATTTATAAGTAATAGTGACTTCTTTGAGTTTCTTTTAGGCTGATGTATGTCATGCCTATCAATTACTGAGGAAAGGTGGATTGAAAGATGAAAATATTATTGTTTTCATGTACGACGACATTGCATTCAATGTACAGAACCCTAGGCCTGGTATCATCATAAATAGGCCACAAGGTGAAGATGTTTATGAAGGAGTACCCAAGGTCCTGTTTCTCGATCTTGAATCTTAGCTTCTGAATATTTCTATGAAATTTTACTTCATATTCTTAATGTGTAAAATTTTATTCTTGTAGGATTATACTGGACATAATGCAAATGTCCATAACCTTTATGCTGTTATACTTGCGAACAAAACTGCTCTTACAGGAGGTAGTGGCAAGGTTTTGGATAGTGGTCCAGAGGATCATATTTTCATATATTATACTGATCATGGCGGTCCCGGGGTGCTTGGTTAGTAGCTCAATAATTTCTGTGAATTTGAATTAATGCTCATGATCTTGCAATATTACACAGTATGCCAAGGACTCTAAATGGATTTTCAACTTATTTGAAGTACAAAAAAACTAGTAATGTTTGACAGACATCATTTTAAAGATACATTAGAACTATTCATCAAAGCTAAACTAGTGGTTTGATGGTGTTATTTTTAATCAGAGATGCCTTATGATGATTATGTTTATGCTAATGATCTCATTGATGTATTGAAGAAAAAGCACGAGTCCAATACCTTCAAAAGCATGGTACATCGTTCTTGCACTGTTATTAATTAACAGTATAGCTTACATAAGTTTTGGAGAGAGCTCTTACTTTGTAATGTGTTGTTTATTTATGAAACCTTAGGTATTCTATCTTGAAGCCTGTGAATCTGGGAGCATGTTTGAGGGCCTTCTTCCTGAAGGATTAAACATATATGCAACCACAGCAGCCAATGCAGTAGAGAACAGTTTTGTAACTTATTGTCCCGATGACTATCCTTATGTTGCCCCAGAATATGACACTTGCTTAGGTGACTTGTATAGTGTTTCTTGGATGGAAGACAGGTACGGTAATTTTGAATATAGCCTCTTATGTTGTGTTTGGTTCACTAGAATGAAAATGGAATGGAATGCAATGCTCATTCTTTTGCCTTCCAATGGAATGACCATTCACTTACAATGGTGAATGATGATTCCATTTGCAATGTATTTTTCATTATTTTTTTAGTACACAAAACGTGAGAATGATAGTGGAATGCTCATTATACTTTATATTAATGAACCAAACACTACCTCAGAATTACTGTTTTGGATGCAAAGAAAACTGAGGCTCCTGGAAACCACCTTTTCTTTCTTTAACGTTTCACTTTTGAACCTGAAAGTGTTTCACTACTAATTCCTTTGCTTTCTGCTTATTATTCTGTATTTCATTATTTGGGCAGTGACAAGCATGATTTGCGTACTGAAACTCTGGAGCAACAATATGAAGTGGTAAAATGTCGAGGTTCTCATTGTATTGGAATTTTTTTAGAAGTTGAAAACAAACTAAATTATAAACGAGAGAACTTTTGAAGTGTGCATGAAACTGAGTGGATATTCCAATGTACCATGAAGTATAGGAAACAAACCATTTACATAGTGTACTGGGCAGCAATCCTTCATATCCTTTAATATTTTGAATGGACTCCGCCAGTCCAAATGATTTATCATAATTGCATTCACAGGTGAGGAGGAGGACATCAAATGAGTATCCAGAAAACGGCTCCCATGTCATGCAGTATGGAAATTTGAGCCTTAGAAAGAACTCTCTGTACGATTATTTGGGTACAAATCCTGCAAATGAGAACTATACTTTTATGAGACGCGATTCCTCGATATCAATTTCAAAGCCTGTTAGCCAACATGACGCTGACCTCCTTCATTTTTGGCACAAGGTCTCTTGTATTTTAATTATTTGCTTTATTATTTTAATTTTTCATTAAGCTGAAAATTCCTGGTTATACCAAACTTAGGTTTACAACTTCTTTGGAACTTGTTATCTGCAAAACAATTATTAAACTTTTGTTCTTTTAGTTTTGGGAAAATCATAATCACACCTCACTTTTAGCCTCTCACACTCTTTCTAGTGAGAGACTGAAAGACCCAAAAAAAAAAAAAATAGGGTGTAAAAGGTTAAAAGTGGAGTACATGTGTCATTTCCCTATTTTTTTGTCTCTTCGATTCAAAACAAGTTATATTTATTTCTCCAGTTCCGCAAAGCTCCTAAAGGCTCTGAAAAGAAACTTGAGGCTCAGAAGCAATTAATTGATGAGTTAAATCAAAGGTTGCACATAGACCATATTATGATGTTTATTGGGAAGCTTCTGTTCGAATCTGAAAATGGGCTGCTGATACTGGAAACTGTTAGACCTGCAGGACAACCTCTTGTAGATGACTGGAACTGCTTGAAGACACTTGTGAGTTTTACTCATCTATTTCATGCTTTTGTATGTAAATGTTTATAGTGATTTGGTTTCAACTCTGTTTCATGCAGGTGAGGACTTATGAGGAACATTGTGGATCTCTGTCAAGGTATGGAATGACGTACATGCGTGCCATTGCTAACATGTGCAATGCTGGGGTGAAGATGGAGCAGATGGCCATGGCATCAGCTCAAGCTTGCATGGGGACCAGCCTGATTCATGCAGCTCCCTCTGCAATGAATTAAATTAAGAGTCCTACTACATCAACTATATCTCTTTAATGTTCTTTGAACAGTCTGCGTGCATAAAAAATGAATTGTGAAGGCTATTTGCTTAGCTGTTTGATGATTTCTACCATGGATGAATCTTTGATTTATGAATATTATTATCAGCTTAAATAAACAGCATGTTCAGATTTGGTTGGTGTGAATGTTAGAATTGGTGAACACTTTGCAGATTGAGGAGTTGCCATTAAATTGTTACACCTACGGCTACGTCAATGTCACAATTGAGTTAATTATTTGTAGATTATTAGAAAAATTATTATTAATGTCATAGTTTTGTAAATGAGTGTGTAATTTGTGCGGCACTTATCACAAATTACACATATTAGAGTGTATAGATTCTGAATACATATACACATTATATATATGTAAATAAAATTAATTATACTAAGACACTTCTCAAATATTAATGAATATCACCCTACCTCTCATCTATGAATCCCAATACATATTGACACCCTCAACTAGTTGTCCAGTTCCTATTATGTCATTCTCATCTTAAAATTGTAGTTACCTAGGAGTTATACCTTGATTGGGGTCTGGCCTACACCACAACCTCATCCAATAACCTTCTGTCATGTGACACTTCAATTCAAGATCATGCTATGTGGTTGACGTCCTAGACCCACGTGGCCCTACTTACAGATATGTTTTCACAATTTTTATCTTCTAAATTTCTATGAACATTTAAACAAAATATGAGCAATATTATTGTGAGTCATTTACCGTTTGTTTTCTCGTAAATATACTATTTTGAGGTTTTACAAAGAAATATATATTAATGACAAAGTTAAATTAAGACAACAATTCTTGCAGGTACCCGTGTGAAAAATTAATCAATGATTGAGATTTTGCGATTCTTACCAATAAAAAAACAAGAATGAAAGAAAAATAAATTAAAAGAGAAAGAGTACAAATATGTTATCATAACATAAAGGAGATGAAGAATAATAACCAAATCAAACCAAACCAAGCCAAACCTTAACTTCTATCAAATAAGGTCAACAGGAGATGAAGAATAATAAAGGAAATCAAGTGAACATGTGAAAAAATAATAATTTTATAGAAAAACAATAGAAATTAATTTTTATTATGTAAATTAAATTTGAGAGATTTGAGAGAAGAAGACAGAAAAAAGAGAAGAATTAAAGAAAATAAAAAGACACATGACATGACACACTAAGGTAGCATTTGGTTTAATTTTAGAATCATGATTCCAATCAAAAAATTTCAAAACTCAAAACTCTTTTTAAAACTTTATTTTTAAAACCAAAAAAAAAAATTAAAAATATATATTCTTTAAAATTATTTTTTATTTTTTTCAGAATTTTTTTTTTATTTTTGCAGAAAAATATTTTTTATTTTTTTGAAAAAAATATTTTGTTATTTTTTTTAAGTATTGGCCAAATAAATTGTTATGATTTATAGGGCTGAGCAAGGAATCCGTGAAATCCGTAATCCGATCCAGTCCAGTCCAATCCGATAGGTTTGGATTGGTTTTTTAAATCCGCGGTTCGGTTCCGGATTGAAGAATTAAAAATCCGTAGTACATGACCAAAATGGCAATTTTGAATGGCCGATCACTGTTCATCTACTTTTGGTAGATATTTTGTGCCAGCTGTGATAGCTGGCACCCACCTTTTCTTCCCTCCATACACATGTATGGAGGGATCTCTCTCTTGACAAGCTTATTTGACAAGCTTTACAAGAGAGAGCTCTATGAGAGAGAGTCTCCTCTCTTGGATTTAGGGTTAGACAACATTTTTAGAGAGCTTTGATATTAGGGTTAGGAATTTGTATCTATTCCATCTCTATATTTCCCTCTCTTGTTAGTTTAGTGTGTGTTTGGTCTTACTTTTGCACACAAACATCCACCATTACACCTTTTCTTGGTTATTGAGGGCCAAAGGAGGGTTCTTGGAGTTCTTGGAGCTGGTTTGGAGCTAAAGAAGCTGCTGGAGCTTCATTTGTGAAGAAAGTCTTCAAGGGTAAGAAATTAGTCCCTTTTTACTAAAATAAAATATTTAAAATAAAATTATATATTTAAAATAAAAAATTAAATTTTTGAAAAATTTTAAATATTTAAAAAATAAAGTGCATAGATGTAATAAATACAACACATACAAAAAAGAATAAAAAAATATTTACAATAAAAAAATATTTACCCTAAAAATATTAATTTAAGTATGTTTTAAATATTTAAAAAAAAACCCCAAAACAATTTCAAAGTACAACTCAAAATTAAAAAAAAAAAATTCAAAGCTCATAACCCAATAAATTTTTTATTTTCTAAACTCATTTTAAAATTTTATCTTTCAAAATATAACTCCACATTCAAACCATGATTTTAAAACTAAATCAAACAAAAATTTTGTGAGTTATGTAAAGAGTCAATAACAAGTAGATAGGTGAAAAAAATTAAAAATATAAAAGATAATTTGTGAATACATTGATGACCTGTGGCAACTGTTTAGATAGTCACATTGCAAAATTTAGAGCATATTAATGAGAGGCACAATTTTATTTATTTATATTTATATGATGGTTAATTTCGTCATATCATATGATTATTTGACGATGTCAGCAATATTTATCAACAAAATTCTACTTACACACCACATTTATCTGAGGCTTTTCCCAATATAAACCTTTTTTACATTGTATTTCCAAAACTAGGCCAACTTCTGACGGAATTCCAAAACTAAGCTAAAGCGCCATTACTATTCGCGCTTTTACTGTTAGGAGTGCAAAAGTAGAGAAACAGGAAAATCGCTATTACAAATAGCGACTTTGATTAAGAAGTCGCTGTTACGAATAGCACTTCTAGGGTTAATTTTTTTTCCAAGGAAAACGCTGTTAAGAACAGCGCTTTTTACACAAAATTGTTTTGCCAAAAAACACTATTGTTAATAGCGATTTTAACAAAAAAATTTTGCCAGAAAAAACGCTATTTCTAATAGCGAGTTCACTTAAATGAAAACGCTTTTTCAATCAGCGTTTTTAACGCCCTCATATATACGAAGCCCCCCCCCCTCATTTGCATACGTTTTTCAGACTTGCTCTCCATCTCGCTCTCAACTCACTCTCCATCTCTCAGCCTCTCCATCTCTCACCCTCCTCCATCTCAGCTCGCTCTCGGTCTCTGCTCTCGGTCTCTGCTCTCTGCTCTCGGTCTTTGCTCTCACTCTCTGTCTCTGCTCTCTCTCTCTCTCCGTGGTATGACATTAACCCTAATTTTATATATTTAGTTTTTGTGTTTGTAAATGTGTTGTATTTTTCTGTCAATGTTAGGGTTTTACATGTGAATTATTAAATGTGTTAGGGTTTTTATCATTGTGGTTATGAAATTAGGGTTTGGAATTGTTTGAAATCACAAATCAGGGTTTGGAAATCTTTTTTTTTTGCTTGTGAAGAGGAATTAAAAGGAAATTAGGGTTTCAAATTATGGTTTTAAAAGTAATTTTGTTTAATTAAGAATAAAAATAGTAAAAATTGTAATTCATATAATTCGTAATTGTTAATGTCATATTACGAAACTCATGTAATTGAGAATTGTTGAATTGGAATTATGAAATGTCTATATTTTGAAATTTGAAATTAGAAATTGGAATTTTGAAATCATTCTTGTGAATCAAAATGTCTACATTTTTTGAATCAAATTATGGTTCAGAAATTGTTAATGTCTAATTTCTACAAAATATAATTATTAAACAAAAAAATATTTAATTTTGAATGTATTTGATTAAAAAAATATTTAATTTTCTCTCCATGAAAAGATCATGTTCTCTCAAATAAAAGATCATGTTCTCTGAAATATTTAATTTTGACTCTATTTTATTGAAAAGAAATATTTTTATTGGTTTCTCAAAATATTTAAATTTGACTCTATTTGATTTAAAAAAAAAAATTTTGGTTTAATTTCGTTTGGTTTATTTCACTATATTTGGGGTCAGGCAGCCAAAATATGATTAAAAAATTTAATGAGCTGAATTTGTAATACAGATAATAGTATTCTAGTACAAATTAAAATTTCCTCAGAAAACTGAAGAAAATTTGAAAAAGTTTTTGAAATGGGTATTGAACGAACTGACTTATCGCCTTTTTCACTTTGTGATTGTCCACTACCATTGAAAAGGAAAATCTAAACATTATGTTTTAATAATGTTTATTCATGTTTGTATAATTAAAAGTCATTATTAGAGTAGTTACAATATATGCATGAAAAGTGTAATAAATTATTTTAATTAATAATCCATAGCAATTTCGTACGTAAGAAGGGAAAAAAAAAATTGGCACTTTGATGGGTAAGCATGTGTTATGTAATACCAAATAATTGGTACGGATGGCCCGATAGATTCTCATGGATAACTATCCAAAATATAGTCCATACATTTAACCACCAACTTCAATTTAATTATCTCTAATTTTTGGCCATTATAAATTATCTCTGTAATTATTTTTTTGTTTTTGTATGTGTAAGAAAAAAAAGGAGTAAATAAATTTAATTTTTTTCTTACTTTTCAGAACGATCCAAAATGATCCAAAATCAGTTTTTTGTTTTAATTTTATAAGAAAGCCTCTATGCCCTCTACAAAATGGACGAGGATTACTAGTTCACATAGGAAATAACTTTGTCATTAAGGTCCGTAATGGCACAAGTTGGAGCAAATCAAATTAACTTATATTTTCTATAAATCTGAACAATTACATCACCAGGTTAAAAAAATCTCTCTCAATATTTGCACCCTGTATTTTATATTGTCCAAATCAATCGCGTCACCCTCTACTAAATATCTCTCAACCTATTTTATTTTTTGCCACTAATTCGAAAGAATTAAGACAACAAGTATATTTCTTGTTATGTGTTTTTTAGATTAAGACAATAGAGCAATGACAACAAAGAACATTCACGTTGAAAAGATAAGAGTCTTCACATAGGAAGTAAATGAGACACAATCTATAACTCCACGTATAGATGAAATATCAGCTGTTCTGTTATACGAATAAAAATAAGTGAAAAAAATGAGAAAATAAACAGTAATAATCAAGTTGAGACACAAATATATAGTTGACAAAATACAAATTGAATTAATGTTTCATCTCTACAGTTCCTTCAACCCTGGAAAATATAAATTGATAAAAAATTAGAGGATTGCTTTTATTTGTGGCTTCTGCAAATTTTAATGTTTATTTTACAAG